GCCACTTTTGTGAAAGTTATGCTGTTTTTTTCACTTTTTTCAGCATATATGAAACCCTGATAACACGATAAGTGAAAAACCGCTTTACTTTTTGGCTTGAAACTTACAGAACTAATGAATATTCATAATACGCAGGTCAAGGTTGAAAATCAGCATGATCGGGCCACTTTTGTGGAAGTTATGCTGTTTTTTTTTTTCACTTTTTTTCAGCATATATGCAACACTGATAACACAATATAAGAAAAAGAGATAAGCCAATTGCCCTTATACTCACAGGAGTGGTCAGTCTTACTAAAACGCAGGTTGAGTTCGAAGTCAGCATAATCGGGCCATTATTGTAGAAGTTATGCTGTTTTTTTCACTTTTCCTCAGATTCAATTCTTAGGCATGTTAACAGTCTCATTATTGAACTAATAAGATACGTAAAAGTGTTTGATTGACATTTCCTGCATCTTTACAAAATTGTTAGTTGATTATGTAAAAATGATGGTAAACTTGTTATCGTGTATTGTAAAATAAAGTGTCAAAAATGGAAATAAACTCATATCACTGCAGTTTGTCAGATTCTATCATCCACTATGTTCAGAATCTCAGAATGGAGGAAATTGTACATTTAACACTGCTCTATTGATATTTTTCCCATCTCATCAATTTTCTTAGTTGATCATATAAAAATGGCAGTAAACTGTTAATTTTGTTTTATGTTAAAAAGTGTTAAAAATGGAAATAAACCCATTTCAGAACAGTGCCATCTTGTTTACATTTTGGGATTTTCAAGGTGTGACTTTGAAGTTCCATGGGCCTGAAGACCTTTGCTAGTAACATTTTCTGAATGTCCATGATACTAATATTTTATTATTAAAAATTGATGGTCATTATGCTGTTAAACATTATGTAATATTAGTAGTAGGAGAAGAGTTCCACAAGCCGCAAAACCAAGAGGCGCCATATACTTTTAATGCAGTTTTTTTTAGAGGGTAAATGAGGCGCTGCAAGCGAATTTTAATGACGTATGCACTAGATGCCCTTAGATACCTATGAGGTGACAAGCAGAGGGAGGGGGTCTTATTTGTTATGCGGATTTGTCAACAAACTAACACCTGAAGAACGTGCAGGCGGATTTGCAAATATTGCTTTGTAAGCGAATGTCAATAACGAGTGCATTTAGATACCTACGAGGTAATATCTCAAGTAGAGAGAGGGGGCTCTTGTGTGTTACGCGGATTTGTCAACAATCTACCCGACAGAGTCGACAAGGCATGTTCAGTGTCTTCAGTGTCTCTTTATAACGAACTCTTATTTCTCTCCAGCAAAATAATTTAATAATAATAAAACAATACCACCTATCCACTAGTAACCAGCAGGCTATAAGTAAACACACACACACACACTCGCGGCCCCTTTCTATTGCCAGGTCGTGGCCACTTACTCTACTTTTTACCAGTGTTTTGATATCTAAGGAGGACACACTCATTTTATGTAATTTTAATAATGATATTTTAATTGTTTTGTATGTCCTTAATTTGTTTGAGGTCTAGCTATTTAATACCTGCTAAAAGAATTTTTCAATTTTTATGTTCAATTTTTCTACTAGGTTTTCTATTTGAAGTATTTTCTTTGGTGGATTGCTATCTTCGGAGAAACACAAATAATAATGAAAAGATTGGATGGATTCTGTCCATGTGTTCCCTTTGTATCGTGCTCAAGATTATACACATACCTTAAAATTCTATTATCTGGCAGTTGTTCCAGTTTAAAACAACATCTTTGGACACGTTTGGCTATAATTGAAAAAATAGGATACCTGCGAAGCTCGACTCTAGACATGGTATTGCTAGCCTGCTCTCTTAGACGCAGAATCCATTTGCAAAACTTTAAGTGTACCAGTTCTTTCAGAAGATTGTGCAGTCCGTCCTTTGTTCTTGACAGTAGGACAATATCATTAGCATAAAGTATGTAGTTGATACCATCTACCTTGTCTGTGGTTTTGCATGTGTGAAAGGATTCTTTTATGTCGTCTATAATTATATTAAAGAGTGTTGGGCTTAGATTACTGCTTTAGTGGATTCCAATTTTAGCAAAAAAAAAAAAAAAAAAAAAAAAAAGGGTTTGGTATAACTGTTGCCTGTATAGATTCCTAATTTAATATCTTTGTTCAAATGTTTAATCAGATTGTAAAATTTTCCTCATATTCCAAGTTTTTGCCACACCAAATCAAATGCCATTTTAAAATCGATAAAACATGCTTAGACCTTCTTATTTTGATTTGTGTATCTGTTAATAATTGATTTAAGTGTGAAACTGTGGTCAGTTGTTCTGTAACATGGCCAGAACCCACCCTTTTCTTCGCTGAGTTTGCCTTTTTTGTCATGATGGTGCTGATACTAATTTCATTTGTCAAAATGGTGTGAAAAAGCTAAATGCTAAAAATGGGCAAAGTTTCCATTCAAATGAGTACATTGGATTCGACAGACACAATTTCTTTTTATCTGTATGAAGTCAATCCCATTACCGCCAGTGGTAGAAAAGTGAAAGTTGAAGTTCTTTGTTTGCCTAAATTTTGGAGAATAGTTTTACATTCTATTTGCTATTTTCAATACTGTGCAAATCTTTATTAACATTCAAGTGACCGTGAGGGGTCATCTACGACCCCAGGCATATGATTTCATATGTCATCTCTTTATTTTTTATCAGAATTTTCTTTCCTGGTATGAGTTTGTCAGTCTACTAATCCTACACACTTCTACAGTATTTTGCTGGGATCAACCAATTAGTGTGGCGTTACAAACTCTTGTGGGGTCATTTATGACCCCAAAGAAAGCGTTGGTTTTAAAACATTGATTTTTAAATTTTATTCAAAGGCTCCACTTCTTATAACTACTTAATACTGTATTGTAGTGAACCATGTGCTTCATGCAACCGGCCAGTTTGCCCAAAACATAGCCACAAACAAGTGGTTTGGGAAGATTGTGCTTGAAATGTTACTAATAGGGCATCGCTGAATCTAATTCCAGTAGCTTTGTTGGAACTTATTTTCATAACTGGGTCTCTCATTTTGACTGTTACAATTTTCAGGTATTTCAGTAATCTAAAGAAATTTTGTCTTTATTATATAACACATACACAAACAAGATGTTTGCATGTTTTTTGTTTTATACACAGGTGTGGTAGTAACATAGGTTGATTGAATGTGTTCTGAGTAGGATGATTTCCCTACCAGTATTAGCGTATTCACTAGTCAGCAAGTAAGATAATTATTTTTATTGATGTAAGAAGGATGCTAGCTTAACATAAGTCAATTTGTTTTACTCATATTTATTTTCTATGATGTACATTTTCATTTAGTGTGACAAAAAAGAAATATTTTTGCAAGTAGGAACTGACAATTAAGGACTGTCTAAATAATGTTGTAATGTTGTTCTTAAAATCTGTTCAGTTATTTCTTGCAATAAAAGTATTATTACCAAATACTTATTACATTAGACCATTATAAAATGCCTGTCTTAAGTGCTGGGAGTAGTATAGGTGTGATAACCCCCCAACCAGCCTTTTATAATAAGGATCCCTGTGCTCCTTACGAGACCGATTGCACAGGCCAGTTTATTACTTTTTTCACAACTTTGGAGTCTGCTGCTGAATCTTACCTCCAGATTATACATCAGTAGATATATAGTAGTATTTAAGTATAGTATGATTAGATAAAAAATAATAACTAATGCTTTATATGGATGTGAAATGAAAATTGAACATTTTTTAAAAATATATATAAGTAATTTTAATTAGGTTTAATTACGTACATTAGGTACTATTATGCCCTGACACTTGCCAAATTAAAACTTGAATTACACCATTTGACATTGCATACGGTTGCATCTAAATTAGCAAAATAATAATAATAATAAAAAAAAAATAATAATAATAATAATAATAATAATAATAATAAAATAAATGACAGTGATTTTCAAAGGGTCTTAAGCCTAGTTTACACTTTCTACATGCCCACTGCATCAGTGCAGGGCAGGATTAATATTTGACTGAATTATACTTCTGAGCTGTGTGCATTTTTACAAAGAAATATATCCGTCAGTTTTGGTATTTATGTTTGTCCCTGTGACAGCCTTGCTGCCATGTTTTAAATATTAGATCAGTTTCAATTATTTTGTTACAAGTATAAATGTGAACAATATTGTGACATATTTTCAACAGTGTTCAATGTAATCAATAGTTACTTTGAGAACTGGACTGTCTTAACTATGCCATTTGTTTCCGCCACCACCAGTTGACCAGCATGGTTCATGGCTTATGCTACGGGATACTCCAATCCATCAATCCCAGTGGCAATGTATCTGATAAACTGTCCCTGTGGACTCAGTGCCACTAACCTGTGGTTATAATAGTCAGCAATGAAGATGTGACCAAAACTGTCTGTGCACAATCCACGTGGCCCATACAGCTGACCATCACCACTGCCTTGTGTGCCATACTGGTACAGCTGATCACCAGTAGGTGACAGCACATGTACACAGTGTCTAGACCAGTCTGATATCACGATGTTATCATTCACACTGTTCACTGCAATGTTTATTGGGCCTGTACACATACTCAGTGGAATAGTGTTCATGAACTGTCCGCTGTCTGCATGGAATATGAAGATGGATCTTTTTCGACTGTCACAAACCATCACCTGACCTTGTTTGTTCAGTGTAATACCCCGTGGATCCTCCAGCAGACCCTGACCCATGGTTGTCACCTGTAGACCTGTGGTAGTGTGCACTTCGACACATTTGTCACCCCGTGATGTTATGTACAAGTGACCAGTCTGTGACACAGCCACATCAAATGGACTGCTTACCTTAATGTAATACTTGAAATCCCCAGTATGTGTGAACATTTTGGTTCTGTCATGTCCATAATCCACGACAAACACGTGTTCCTCATCTATGGCCAACCCAGTTATGTACATTGCACTGTCATCTTTCAGCGTAGAACTAAAAGAATGTTCACACTTTACCTTCTCTAAAGAAAACAGGAGGATATCGTGCTGATCTCGGATATGTTCCCTGTCCAGCTAATGGAGGTTGTGTCTGTACCTGTCCTAACATGGCTTCCAGTCCGTCAGTAGATATCTTACCAGGTTTGTATGATATCTGTGCTGGTGTGTCTAGAGTTGGGACAGGTGTTTTCTCCATCAATGCCAGTCTCTCTGTCAGAGATTTTGCGTGAACCATGATATCAGAGTCAGTGCCATTAGCGATAAGTCCATGGGCAAAGTCACAGGCACTTTGCAGTGATGTATGGTGGAATTCTAGTATGTTCTTGTTTGCCTCCTTCTGCTTCTTTCTGATATCGTAAGCAGAATTCACTTCTGATATCAGTGTCTCTTCCCTTTGATCAATAAATTTGCGCAAACTTTCAGCTTGTTCTTTAACTTCTTTGATTGTGGCTATCCTGATATGAGAGTCCTCGGTTTCATTGGCAGTTTCCATGACAAGTGCCTCTTTAAACCTGTTCATTGTTTTCATGGTTTTTACTAGGGCTACTGTAATTTTATCTCTCTTACTTTTTGCAACTTTACCAACTGGTACAATACCATGTCTGTAATGATATGTTGATGCACAGTCACCACATACAACAGTATTGTCATCTTCACAGTAATATTTTAATTCACTGTTAGGATGTTTCTCACAACTGATGGTCATCTGTGCAATGGCCTGTGTCACTGTTGCTGCATTGGACTGTTTTTCTTCTAATGTCTGTCTCTCTTGTTGTTTGGTTATGATGTCCTTGGCCTTGCTGAAGACAAAATTCTTCTTCAGTTGATTAAGTCCACCAGCTGGAAACTGGACCTCTACTCTACAAATGGGACACAGAAATGTCTTATTTGGAGTCAGTGTGCGCGAAGCATGATCACATATACAACCATAGCAAAATGTATGGTAGCAAGGGAGCACACGGGGGTCCTCATACTCTCCCAGACAGATGCTACAACTCAAGAGGTTATCTGTGAAAGCTGCTGCTAGTGCTTCTGCCATGTCTGTCTGTCTCTTTGCTAGTTTACAAAGGATGATTGAGCTAGTTTTGTTGCTCTTAGAGTTGAATCACTCGGTCAAAAATTGTCAAAAATGCTCAATTTTCTCTCAAGTTCACAATGCTGCGACTTTGATCACAGAGATCACACTTAAATGTTACCACTTACTAGTACTATAGTCAGCCTTTAACTGTCTCACTGTCATATTTATCACAGTTTTAATAAAGATGATAACTGAAATATGCGCCCTGTTTCTTCCTTTCCTTTTTAGACCTGCTCAAAAGTGGAGAGGAATACGGCGTCTGTTTATTACCTGACGCTGACCTCAACATAATGTATTTGAGGACAAAAGGAGCTCGCATTGTGTGTTGACTGGTGACACAGTTGTATTGTGTTAACTCTTAAGCTCACGCTGTTAAAAAGAGCTATGTATGCAGGCATTACTGTCTCGTTTTGTGTGAAAGAAACCTCTCAGGTTTCAATGTTGCTGTTGCATTTATTATACAGGGATATACTGGAGAGAGAGAGAGAGAGAGAGAGAGAGAAAGGGTTTGCATTGCCGTTATTAGCTGCATACTTGTAATAGGGCATACTTGCAATATGCAGTGTAATTCTTTCTCTTCTTTATTGAATAGGTATAAAAAATATTGATAACTTATTATTTCTTGCACACACAGAATATTGCGTCTGGTGACACGGTTATACTATTTTTACCCTGTGCTCAGGTTACACATATAAAGCCATGTCTGCTGGTATTTCTATTTTGCTGTGTGGCAAAGTACGTAAGAGAAAACACCCAAAGTGGCTCACCTGTACCGTTAAGCCCAGCGCACACAGAACGATTTTTCGTCGGCCGACACACTTACGACAAAATATCGGCCTGTCTGCGCTGCTCCACGACAACTTTTCAACTAGTCGGGAGAGAATCAAACATGTTTGATTTTTAAACGTCGTACCGTAGTGTGTGCGCTTTCCTACGACAATTTGTCGCGCTGATCATTATCGTTAGTCAATGGTTGCGCCATCTGATATCACGTGCCCACGTCAGAATTCAGTATGATGGAAGGCCCTATAATTTTCTATTAGTATTAGTTTTTTTTTTTTTTTTTTTTTTTTAATTTTCAGCGTCATAAACCATATAACGACGTAACGCTGCATCGAGGCGACTAAATCTGTCTAAACTGACAAACTGTTGCCATCCTATAGGCTGTATTTTTATGGTCTATGAGTATTGCGTTGGTTTAGAAAATTTGGGCATTTCAATTTGCTCATTTTTCAATTAAATTAATTAAATTAATCTTTTTATACTCTTACATTTAATTTTAACTCTTATCATTACAATATCAGATATAAAATATAAATAGGCCTACAGAAACTTTTCCTGATTAAATTAAACAACGCCCCACCTCGCGGACGAGATGATAACTACGTCACTTTCACCACACCAGTCGGCGCTTTGTTGCGACAGCTTGTCGTGTGTGTGCGCTGATCTCATCCAGAACGACCGATCGGCCGACTTTTGTCGGCCGGCGAAAAATTCTGTGTGCGGCGGGCTTAACGGCACGACGAGAGCTAAAGCGGTTCACGCTTTGGCGGTTTTACTTTGAGTAGTCTTTACCATTTCTAATGTCCACTGTGGAGTTGCCCGGGTTCTGTATGACCACATGAACAGTCTTGATAAAAAAGGCAAGAGGGGTGGGGAGGGTATTAAACACACACACGCACAATGCATGATTGCAATAGCGGCGATATGACTTTAAAATAAAAAAGAATACTGTATATCTTGCTGATAATCCCACCAAGAAGAGAGTACTCTCAGAAGAAATGGCAGTATGACATACATGGCACCATGGCGGGTTAGCTATACTATACAGTTTGGACGCTCATGTATGGATTCACAATCAATACCCCTTGAGCCGTACATATGTATTTTTTCACGCACAACGCCAGTCCCCGAAAATGTCTTATCATTGAACGCGTACGTTGAAGTTTATGTAAGATGTACAGAAGGACTTGTTTGAGAAGCCAACATGGAACATTCCTAGATTCCCTTTTTACTAACTTTGTTTTGAGCGGAGATTTGGTTTGGTATCATCATGGAAACACAGTGGGATGATTTCAGCTTTAGCAATACCCACCAGAAGAGGGAATAGTTCAAACTTTCAAATGTGTTAAAGCTGGAGCGCTTTCCATTCAAGCAGTTGCAACGATGTGAAATTAAAGAAAAAATATATATTTGGTAGTTTCTTTTTTTCAGAAATTGAAGGGGGGGGGGGGGGGGTAGAACCCCCTCCCCTAAATCCGCCACTGTTTACCGTGCCACTTTACCGGGTTCTTACAGGTAATTAGTTGAGGGGAGGTGTGGGGGGGGGGGGGGTTACTGCTTTCACTGGCCCCAAGGCACCTAAAATGACAGGTCTCGGATAAGAAGCCGACCCTCGGCCCCATTGGAGTGTTTTAGACGGCAAATGGCGCCATTTGGTACGGTTTAGAAATATGAAACAGCGAATCAAAATGATTATTTCAAGGGCAGAAAATTAGTGTGATCTTTTCTATAGAACCCCCTAAATCCGCCACTGTATTAGTGTGATTTTTTCAGAAACGGAAGGTGGGGTCCGGACCCTCTTGACCCCCTCTTAATCCATCACTGCTGATAATCCCACCAAGAAGACAGCACTCTCAGATGAAAGGGAAATATGACATGCATGGATCCATGCCTGTTAACCATTGACTCAATTCAAGTTTGATCCGTTGCGTAAGAGTTCAGGTACCGTCTCTGCCTAAGCATCACTTTAGGTACCTGAAATGGTGCACGAGTACCCCTGATTTTAGTGTGCATTCCATCTTTATAAGCAAAACAAGTGCCTTTGAAACTTTATTAGTTGTCTCTTTATATCACCAAGCATACCGTGTCAATCGTTCCAGCCTTTGGTAAAATGAGTATATGTGAAGCTGATTTCAAGATCTTAAATTCTACTACATGCCGTCGCCAGTGAAATTCACCAGTCTCCATCCTCATGACCAGAGTGACTTTAAAACTAGAACATTTGAATGAGATTTATTGATCGTAATTATGTGCAGGGTACTAAATTAATAAGGTGTACCTTGCAAATTAGAAGAAAAGTAATGAAACTTCATGTAACAAAGTTCTTTAGCAAAGGTCTTATGCGCAGTGAACGTCTTGAGAAATAAATATGTTGATATCCAACTGTTGCCTCTCCCATATACATGAACCTGATATTCGAGTCATCTCTTTACAACACTTCAAAAGAGAGCTTAATACATGTTTATCTTCCATGCTCTCTTCTTTCTGTTTTCTGTGTCTCTCTGATGACGTCAGCGAGCTTTTGAAATGCAAAATCTATCGTGTCTGGTGCCACGTAGGAAAATGAGACCCGCACAAACGGCGAGAGGTCGCTTGGATTGGTAGAAAATGCAAACCCGGGTGACACACCAATCTGATAGTGCTTGCGAATTTCTTCAACGATCTTTCTGGAGTCTTGTACGTCCTTTATCCTGAATAAAAAATACAAATTTCTAAAACAGAGAAAAAATAACAACAACAGCCTGCGAAAGAAATATACATATGTCATTGAAAACAAAATAAAAATAGAGAAGAGGGTATAATTTAGTGTTTAAAAATAATAATGATAAACTTTATTCAAAGAGTGTAAAGCATGTTAAGTGTACACACTTTTCTTACACATGGCCCTCTGAAAAGACTTAGCTCTTGTTTTTTTTTTATTTGAACGAAAGTGTCAGTGAAAGTACGAAAAATAAAAACTCGTACCGACCTGATCCAAAAATAAATTCCGGCTTCCGGTAGCTCCCACTCAGCTAGACCACTCAGCCATTTCTCTGCCGACAACTGCATGGCGTCCCTCTGTTCTTTATAAACGCTTTGAATCTTTTTAACATGTTCCTGGAACCCGTCCTGTCCCCACGCCTTCAAGGCCATCAGCAGCGCCACCTGCGACAAATTACTAGAATGTTCCTGCGTGGATCCAATGTGCGCTACGATTTTGTCCACCAGGGGCGCTGGACCACTGAGGATGCCAAGACGCAACCCCGGAGACACGGTTTTCGAGAACGAGTCTGCTCTCATTACTCTCCCATCTGTATCAATGGAGAGAAAACTCGGCACACGAGAGTCTGTATACTGTACAAAGTAGTAGGGGTCGTCCTCTAGAATGAGCAAATCTAACTCCTTGGCTATGGCGTATATTTCCTGCTTACGCTCTAATGTCATATTCTCCCCTGTCGGGTTACCCCCCGTGGGTACCAGATACATCAATTTGGGGAAATCAGAATTTGGATCCTTTACTTCATCGGGAGTCCATTTGGATAAGGTTTCTCTCAAGTGCAAGGGTGATATTCCACGTCCGTCTCCCGGTACGCCGACAGGTTTGGCGCCAAGAGCTTGCACTAGGTCGATGGCGGAGGCGTAGGTGGGATTCTGGACTATGATGGTGTCGTCTGTCTCCAGGCACATTTCCAGCACCTTAAAGGCAGCCTCCGCAGCGCCGTTGGTTACGATCACGTCGGTGGCATTTTCACCTGAGGAAAGAGACAGTTTAAAAATGGCGCATTACTTTTTTTTCTAATATTGTAAAAAATATTTCGGCGCTTCAATTGTTATATTAGTTTTTTTTTTAAATTCCAATATAGAAACTGTCTAGACTGAATAACAATGACCTATATATAAACAAAAAAGTAACCAACAAGGCTCCAACAGAAAAAAAGTATATATATATATTATATGAATTACCATAAATCTCTAAAACGTTGTGTTGTTTGCTTGAAAATGAAATACAGAAATAAAATTCGAAGTTGCAAGGATATCTAGGGTTAATAATACAAAAATAGGCAATGAAGAGCGTTTGCATACCAATTTTCGATGAAGTAAAGCAGCGGTTTCTGGCCCTTACCTTACCTCATTACTATTATCACTATTGATTTGCCAACTTTTCCTAGAAGTAAGTTACTCTAGATCTGTGTGCTCCAGTTCAATTGAACTTGTACTCGCTATGTTCCAGGCTCTTACCTCGTCCCCAGCATGGGGGGTTGTGATGTTCCAAAATGAAGTTCTTACACCAGTCCCTGAACGGAGGGTAACCGGTAGTATTGCTATACTGCTGCACTTCCTTACTCATGAAAATAATAAAAATAATGATATATAAAAATAAATGAATAAATAAAACTGATGGTATTAAACGTGAAATAAAAAGTATCAATATGTATCTCACATTCTCAACATTCAGAGATCACAGTTGACCCAGATTTTATTTTATTTTAATTAATTAATTAATTTATTTATTATTATTATTATTATGATTATTATTATTATTTATTTTTTTTTTTTTTTGGGGGGGGGGTGTTACGACTGAGGCATTGGAGGGATAAATTATTCACTCCGGATGAATGCTATGTTTACATGATTTTGCGCATGGTAAGTGGATTTATTTTACCTACGTCTCGTCACGTGCTGCTTACAATAACAGAAAGTAGTCAGCAATATGAAACACGATTTCAGTGGCCATCATTCACTGGGCAGCCCTTTACCTTTCACAAGATAGTCATATATGTAGCAAGTGCATACTCCCAAAGGCCCCATATACAGTCAAATGCGTACATGAATGTACTTAAATGCAAAAGATCTCGACATTTGTCTTTATAAAGACTCCCGCCCTTCTGTATAGTGGGTATTTATAACAAACATGCCAATGTATATAGCTATACTTGATAACGTGGGGAATGTCTTCACTCTTTACAGGACGATAGTGATATGCCGCAATATAGGAGGGTCCAACCCAACTTAATCATAAACACGGCTTTCATGCAAATGCACACACACATACACACAGCCACAAATAAATACGCGCACGCACGCCAGAACACACACAAATACACACACACACACACACATACTTGTCTATGGGTCACACACGAGGACATCAGCNAAGACATTCTTTAACCCTGGACATCTGTTATTACCTTGTCTTGGTCAACTACTTAAGGTCAAAATGTGCAGACACAAGACCCAAACAAAACGTTGATGTATTACCAAAAAGTTAATAGCACCACTAAAACAAACCATTTGCTACATAAATACAATTAATTCTCTTAATTGTAGTTTTTCTCCGCCGGTTGAACATAAACAAAGAGTGCTATTCACTGGGGAACCGAAAGATCAAAATAAATCAATGGTTGACATTCCAATGACTCAACGCTCTTTTGTAAAAAGAGATGGGTTTCGATTTGCTTCGATCGTAATAACAAAAGCACCGCAGTAGCAAAGTGCGTTCTTCTTGGAAAAGCAGCTCCACGAAAGTAATGAGGTACTTTCAACGGAGAGTTTGTCGAATGTACTTGTTGCGTCTAACTCTTCACCTATATGTTTTAAAAAAAAAAAAAAAAAAAAAAAAAAAAAAAAAAAAAAAAAAAAAACAAGTACCTGCACGAAAACGCAGTAGATACTCCAGCGCAGTAGATACTCCAATCATACTGCAAACATGCCTCAAATCTGCTTCGACGTGGGAGCTAATTAGCATATTTGAACATTAATGCTCCTCTCTGTACAAACCTATGTACTTTTTGGAGTAGAATTGCAGTAGGCTATATTGCATTTCTACTGCAAATATGCTCCACACCACTACTGCGTTAATGCTTCTTTGCTACTTCGATACTACTGCATTTTCGTGCGGGTAGCAAAAGGCATTCAGTTCGGAAAAAAGTTGCTCTAAAAGTATTAAGTTACTTTCTACGAATGTCCAATAGAATGGACTTGATGCGTCTGCAAACTTTGAACATATGAAATAATCAGTATATTGTCAAGACGGGGTATATTCACCTGTTGCACCACTGCACTGTAAAAACAGTGTTTAGCATTTAAATACATACAACACACGTAAGGCACCTATACGCATTTAGAAATATGTGTAAAAGCTAAGCACGTATAGCATTTCAGGCGTTTCACAGACGAAAAAGCTAGACACGTATACGATCCCATAACAAGTTTATTACAAGACTCAACAATTTGGGTTAGCACTTCCCCTTGTAAACGTATGGAGCTGTTGGAGGCGTGGAAGACCAATTTTCCGGTTTTGTCGGCACAGCGAACCCTCGGCACAGCGAACCCTCGGCACAGCGCGCTGACCCCGGAACAGCCTGCTCGACCGCGTTGTGTCCTTAGTTGTAACGTGTGATTATTTAAAATAGGCCTATTTAAAAGTAATAATCCAAATAAAATCACGACGTTATCAGCTGGTTACATGATGGTGATGGTATAGAATACAGTTATTTTAATGTTATGGCTGTTTTTAACTCCTTGGAAAACGATGCCCCTGCAGTTTTATTAGCGTTTTAAAACATTCTGGAAAAACATTATTTGATGTTTGGAAAAACTTTTTTATAAATAAGCAAAACGGTCTTATGCTGTATAAACTACAGTTAGCGGTTAATTCCAAATTGGGCTTGGGTCTAGTAGGCGACTAGAGCGGTGCGATTTGTTAAATATTCGGACTATCGTTACCAAAATAACCAGCATGCAATGAAAGCTTAAATAAACCATTATAATGAATACCCCACCATCATCCTGATGTTCTATTGTTCATAACTTCCAGAAAAAATAAATAGACATCAATACCGTAACGCGTTTTATCAAAATATGAAAAAAGTTTTAAAGTAAAAGTGATAGTTGTTTCGTGTCTTTAGGAAACTAGTGAATTTTCCTAACTTGATATTAAGAAATATATTCCAATATAACCTCCCTTGCAAGGTCAGCTAACACAAGAATGAATAAGTCCCACTGTAAATGTGATGTGATGTTAAGTCAACGATGTTGACAATTCACAGTACCCTGTTATAGATAGAGATAGCTATAGCAGTTAATTAAAGGTGACCGTGACTTCGTGTGTGTGTGTGTGTGTGTGTGTGTGTGTGTGTGTGAAACCCTTACCACCTGAAAGTTAAGCAAATACACCCTAATTTATTAGGCGTCAAAGGATTGCCCTATCTATATTATAAAATGAGTTGTTGACGAAAGCCCCATTGACAAGCACAAATTTCATAATGATTACGATAACTGTCGTTTTGGTGGTGAAATGCAATTTATAATATTTTCATGCGTTGTTTACAATGTATTTCTTGTGGAATATTGCATCTCAAACGAACATTTTTTGTGCCTTTAATATACCGTAACCTGCGCTTATACAAACAAAATACCATTTTCTCCGCCGGTTGAACATAAATAAAGAGTGCTATTCACTGGGGAACCGAAAGATCAAAATAAATCAATGGTTGACATTCCAATGACTCAACGCTCTTTTGTAAAAAGAAATGGGTTTCGATTTGCTTCGATCGTAATAACAAAAGCACCGCAGTAGCAAAGTGCGTTCTTCTTGGAAAAGCAGCTCCACGAAAGTAATGAGGTACTTTCGACGGAGGTTCAGTCAAACGTACTTGTTGCGTCCAACTTTACACCTATATGTTAACAAAACCAGTAATAGTCAACTTTTTATATTGGCATTGAAAGGGCAACTCGTGGCACGTTTGACAGGTGCATGTTGGGTACTGTGATCATTCCCAATCGAAATGGCGGCTCCACAGGAAAGTGATGTTGAAATAGAACCGCTTCCACTGCTGACCATTTTAGAAGACTATGGCCAACGTCAAGAGATCAAGAAGAGGTCTGCTTCTCTTGGCTATGGAGTGGCCAAGGTGGTGGTATCGATTATTGTCTGCCTCGGGTTACTTTTTTGCCTGGTCGCCAGCAAAATTTCCGTGATTGTAATTTCACAAGATTTGACCGAAGTCAACGGCACAGAAAGGCAATTTCAGACCCACCTTGATGCGGACGGACGTCTCTCTATGTTGATGCTTTTGCTGATATTTTTAGTTCCTTATGTTGTGACATTTTTACGGTGTCTTTGGTCGTCTGGGGTGCTGTTCACAATGGCGGGCTGGCTGTGTTGTCGCTGTTTAGGACCTCATTTTGAAGGGAAAAGTACAGTTGTTGGCCTTAAACCATGGCCTAATGGATGTTCCATCTTCGTGGTAAGTTAACAATGCATAAACCTACCGTGAGATCGGTTTCTGAAGTCAAATTTAGCTCAGATTTGGTCTCAACTTTTGGATCAACATTCCATTCTGCTTGATTTCAAGACAAATGTAAATTCAATTTGAACAACGCAGTGGATTGCCCATACTCGGATATCCCACATGCTCCCTGGTCTGAAATACAATCATATCTTTCAAGTTATGTAAAACAGGTATAAAGTTCCATACGATTTAGCTTGGGCTAAAGCAGATCGTTTTAGTAACTATATAGTTCAGGGGAATTTAAGAGACAAAAAAACGTATTAAACAGTCCCGATATAGCGAATTTATCTGAGGGCTTAACGCGGCACAATAGAAGTTCAATTCTCAGATTCCACGTACATGTTTAGTCCAATTAACGGACAACTTAAGTTAAAGAAAAATATGAACACATATCTCTCAGCTGAATACGGTCCAGTTATGGACCAACATAACCCAAATAAATTCCCATCGGAATCCGCCTTTGGTAAAGTTGAAAGGTCCAAAATGGCCGCCAATGCCCTGGGGAGGGTGTTTAAGTGGGCATATCATGTAAAACATGGTGACTGAGAAACTTGTGAGATGTGTTATTTCTTATGTTCAAAGACATGGCCATTCATTTGAAAAAAGTTTGGAAGCTATCAGAGATCAAGGTCATGCTTAAATGTCAAGTTCTATCTCGAAAAAAGGAACAAAACAGCTTTAAAACGACATCAACTTTCTTCATTTTTTTCAAAAATGAATTTTTATAGTTTTCGCTTATATCGAGAACTGCATACAAGCGACTACCTTTGTGAATGTGGTACTCAACCGACCAAGGGTAAAATAATGCATGTAAAATAATTACTGTTGTTGTCTAAGATGTACAAGTAGTTGTAGTGGTATACTGGTAATGGTAGTGGTAGTGGTGAAACCAAACAAACAGAATAAAAATAAATAAATACATTACAATAATGAAACAACGAATCTCAAAAACTGAAATACAATTAATGTACATACAAAATGAAAATAAAAGAATGGAGAGAGAGAGAGAGCAACACGTTCACGCAAATAGCAAAAATGTAA